CTCTTCTGTTGCTACTAACTTTGGAGTGAACCTAGACTATCTAGTGAACCTCACCTCAAACTATGCCAAAGGAGTAGTACCTTGGTGCGATGCAACAAACTACTTCCTCAATCTTTCTTGTGCTGAAGAAGGAAAATACTTGGTTAGAAAGGCCATAGTGAATACAACCCAAGTATTGCCTATGATAGTCCTTGCATACTTCCACCAATGCCCAACGTCTCCTTTCAGTTGGAAACTCGCTAAAGGAACCCTTAACCTATCATCATCAATCCTCATCATCTTTGAAGTCTTTGGTGGCTTGTTCTAATCACTAATTTGCATTCAGTGAATTAAACTCTCCTATGAACTTCGGTCGGTTGAAGTGGAAGAACTCCTTAGTAAGCTTGAGGGAACGGTTCTCATACCTTTCATTGCGAGCTAAAGTTTTCATCACTGCTTTTACAATCTTGCATGCAACTTCCTCGTCCATAGCTGGTACTGTAGGTGCAAGTTCTACTGGAACTGTTGTGCATCTACTGACATTTTATTCTTGACACGTCCTCTACTCTCTCTTCCTGACATCCTATCAAAGACAAAACTAAGCTTAGTAAACAAAACTTTAGATTAGAAAAGCTTAGAGGGTCAGAAATGTAGAAAAGAGAGAGAAAGGAGAAACAAAAGGAAGAAAAATTTGACCCAAAAAAGGATTTCAAATGACTCACTTCGAACAGACTGCTCGAGCGGTCATTTTTGCGCTTGAGCGGTAAATGAATGATTGTAGCATCTCAAGCCACGTTAAGGACAGACCACTTGAGTGGACAAACCTGCACTCGAGCAAAAAATTCAAATTGTCAAGACATCAAGCTTCAGAAAAAAGTATTGGATGGTTTGAAAGACTGCTTGAGTGCTTACTCTTGCAATTGAGCAAACGAGAAAGGTAACGGAATTCCTACCTCAAAGTGAATGAGACTAATGGAGAAGCTTTAAAATCTCATAATGGTCTAAAATAAAATCGGGCTTGGTGAAGTTGAAGCTCTCGATGTGCTCTACGACTTTAACAAATGAGTTGTGCTGCAAAACTCCCTATAGGTAGATGATATCAAGGCTTGAATATGGATTTTGGACACACACCCACACACCCACATATGTATAGAGAGAGAGAGAGAGAGAGAGAGAGAGAGAAGAAAAAAAAAAAGAGAGAGGGTCTCAAATTTTGAAGAAAAAGGACAGAAATTTATGGGCTTGATGCGCACTTTCACACGTATGGAGACCTTTTGCCTTACGTGCATTGGTCCTTGGCTATATTTTGGTTTCCCATAAGAGTAAACTAGGAAACCCCCCATTTCTCGCACGTGTGGGACCAATCGCTGCACATGTAGAGCCCCCTCGTTGCACATGCAAGAAAACCCTCCATATGTGTGGGGCTTTGCCTTGAACACCAAACTTGGGTTACACCATTTCGCACATGTGGAACCTGCCCGCTTCACGTACTGCCAAGCCTGGTAAGGCTAGACTCTCTCAAGGTGTTTCTACACACTGACACTTTGTCCTAACACCCAACTCTAACGTTTAGCCTGCTAGGCATCAAGAAAAACTTAACATGGTTCCAATCGCAATCATCAAGACACTACTCATTACATGAAGATTTCAGAAGCATATTAATAAGTCCAAACACATAAGTTGAAGTCGGGTTTAAGACTTGAGACACTACAAAAATAAATTTAACTGCAATCACAGTTACCTCCCATAATAGCTTTTTAATATTTTTAAATCTAAAAACCAATCCACCAACACAATAGATGTTTAAAATTTGGTGGTATTACCCACTCTATGTGCCACAATTTTAGACAATCACACCACACTTTCTAAGAGAAATCACAATGAAGTAGTGGGTGATTAGCTGTTTTGAGATCTTCTTCTAAAAGCATACAAATTACCTTATATGGGTCCTTGAAAACTCGTCTTTCTAGTAACGAAACAATGTAGAAGTGTAGAAACTCCTCACTAAGTTACAATCCAAAACATTATACCCTTAGTGGGGAAATGTTATTCTACAATAAGTCAACATTTTCAACAGCTGCATCCAAGGAAAATTCATGGAGAGAGTAAAGGAATGTGTAAAAAAACTGATGTATTATTGATTGATTGTATTGTTGATATATTACAAGGATTTATATAGGAGAGGATTTGGGAGTAGGTGAAGATGGTAGTGGAGGTGGTAGGTGGAGTGTATAAATGCTTAGCCTTTTCCACAAATTTCTCCAAAATGCATATTTTGAAAAAGGGTGCTAAACCTAACAATTGAAGTATGTTATCATGCTTTTTATCAACCCAAGCAGAAAGGCCCTTCTGAATATCAAATATATTTTACGAGTGGCCAGAGGGGAGAGATCGAAGGGGGAGGGTGGCTAGATGTTGTTCTCCACGTTAGAAAATTAGATATGGCAATTTCCATTTTATAAACTCTGATACCACTATTGGAATTGAGAGAGGGGTATAAATCAATGTATGATTCACAAAGAGACACAATATTTAATGTGGTTCGGCCTCACTGTTTACGTCCATGGGCGAGTAACCATTTTCACTATATGATGGAAATTACAAAGAGATTACAATGGATGAGGACTCTCTCTCTCTCTCTCTCTCTCTCTCTCTCACTCAACTCCCATTGAGCTTCCCTCTCTTACACCAAAGGAGCTCCCTTCTCTACCATAGAGGGTCAATCTCTCATTTAGCTCTCCGAACAGAGCAACTCTCTATAAAAACTCTCAACTCTCAAATCTCTTAGAATCCAATCTCCCTAACTGGTGATGGCTTTGTATCTCCCACGCTAGAGATTACATTTTCTCTCACTCTATCTAAGACAATCACACAACCTATCTATTTATGGATTCTCAATCCATTTATAAACCGTGTATGCTACAGTGTTTCTTCTTCCTTAAACTTCAACAATGGCACTTTCTTGAAGCTTCCTTCTTCTTCTTCATTTTGGCTTCATCTTTTTATCTCTGGAACTCTCCAACAACCTTTTGCTTTTCTTCTCTTCTCTAGTAGCCTGATCTCCAAAATCAAATTGAATTTATTTTTCAACATCCCCCTTCAAACTCAATTTGCTGGATTTTCTACACGATGCCTCCTATCTAATCTTTGGAGTCAATCCTCTGTTGATTTTTATCTCTTAAAACAACCTCCTATTGTTTGGTATTGTTTACTACTTGTTGACTTCTTCTCTTTTACAGATCAACCATCTATTCTCTATTGTGTGGAACAACCACTTGTTGTCCACTATAGTCAACCACCTATTGACTTATGTTTCTTCAATGTCACAGAGTAACCACCTGTTGCTTGTATCGTCTACGATATCTGGGACGTCTTCTATCACCATATCTGTGATGTCTTCTTTGTTGTCTTCTTCGACTCCCGCTTCAAAGAATATTTTCTCTCTCCATATCTTCAAACAAAACCTGCAAATTTCTGTTATGTAATTTGTAAATTGTAACCATACGAATGTGTCCAGAATACTCCAAATAGTAGGAAACCACTATTGGATTGTCAAAATTGGACCTCAAATGGCTCAGATCTAGCCAAAATAATTTTGACAGTTCAGATCAAACCTTGCATCTCAACCACAAAACACTGTATAATTCCTCTTGGATCAGCTTGCGTCAGTGTGACATTAACGGTGTGTTTCGGTAACTCGGTTCGGTGGCTCGGCTCAATGGCTCGAATTGGTGGCTTGGTTGTAACTTTGCCACTGGAACTCTAGATTTGTGGAAGACAATGAGTGTTGTGTACACGGTTAACTTCTTGGCAGCCATATAAGTTCATTTGGAGTTCGTTTAAGCAATTCTTTATACTGTCGGAATCCTATCAACGATTACTTCACATTGACACATTCAAAATTGGATTTTGACAACTTCAAAAATTTCCATTTTCAGATGTTGCAATTATTGGCGAACTTCAGTTACTTCTTTGCTCTTCTAGTTAATGGGTCTGAACTCCTTTAGTCGACACAAACCTTGTAGTATATTAAGAAATTGATTTTGACACCTTCAAAATCTAGGCAAAATTTTGAAATCGTGCTTTGTTTCTTGAAAATTTCTTCAAGAAATAGCCTAAAATGGCTTGGATACTCGCCTCTGAATCATTGTGGCTCTAATACCACTGTGGGAAATTAGATATGGCAATTTCCATTTTATAAACTCTGATACCACTAATGGAAGTGGGAGGGATGTAAATCAATGGATGATTCACAAAGAGACACAATATTTAACTTGGTTCGATCTCACTGTTTACGTCCACGGGAGAGCAACCATTTTCACTATATGATGGAAATGACAAAGAGATTACAATGGTAGAGGACTCTCTCTCTCTCTCTCTCACTCACTCACTTAACTCCCATTGAGCTTCTATCTCTTACACCGAAGGAGCTCCATTCTTTACCACAGAGGGTCAATATCTCATTTAGTTATTTGAACAAAGCAACTCTCTATAAAACTCTCAACTCTTAAATCGCTTAGAATCCAATCTCCCTGACTGGTGATGGCTTTTTATCTTCCACACTGGAGATTACATTTTCTCTCACTCTATGTAAAACAATCACACAACCTATCTATTTATAGATTATCAATCCCTGTACAAACCGTGTGCTATAGTGTTTCTTCCTCCGAAAACTTTAACAATGGCGCTTCCTTGAAGCTTCGTTTTTCTTCTTCATTTGGCTTCCTCTTCTTCTTTGTGGAACTCTCCAGCAGCCTCTTGATTGTTCTTCCCTTCTCTAGCCGCCTCATCTCCAAACTCAAATTGAGTTTGTCTTCCAACACTCCAAACAACAGTCAAACATTATTTTTTTTTGGTTCTAGACAATTTAGAAATTTAAAAAATTGCTACCATTTTTAATAATGAAACTCGTTGCCAAATGTTTTTTCGTTTCAATAATAAAATAAAAAAAAACATAAAATACAAAATATTATCACACTTAATCTTAATATATATATATATTTCTATATTTTGGTTTGAAGATGTTCCTGTGAAGTTGGAAAACTATGGAGATCAAGACCACAATAGAAGTGACATGGAAAATCCAGTTAACAACTCTCAAGTTATTATACAGAAATGCAGCTGGGTTCAAATTTTGGGGCCAAACTTCTCCAATTCTGGTTTGTTATGAATTCCTTATTAAGTCAACATGAATAAAGGGCATGCTATGGTTGAAGTTTGGTGAATATAGGAATTCACAGAAATTCAATATTAGTATTGCTATACAAACATAATTAGCAATTGATCTGTTTGATGCATGGGATAAAAGAATAATTTTTTATAAAATTTAATTAATTATTTATACATATGATTATGTATATATATAGTTATTTTGGGTAAATTACAATCACCTCCCTTGAGGTTTGAAAAGATATAGTTTGTCCCATACTTTTGTCATAATTATATTGATCTCTCTTCATTTTTTAATTCACATAACAATTAGGCCATTTTGCGTCAATAATTCGTTAGATATATCAATGAAAAAAAAAATTGGCATTTATTTTTTACTAAAATGTATAATTATTGTTGTTTGTTTCAGTGTCTATCCACCATCTACATTAGTTTAGGTTATGAATGTATGGACAATAGTGTCAAGATCTCAAAGGAAAACAAAGATGTCCCACATCATTTTCATTGCAAATGTACCAGAATCAATGACTCTTGATTCATTCAGAGGTTTATTTCAAATATTTGGTAAGGTTATAAAAGTCTTTATCCCTAACAACAGAACTAGAAGATTTAACTTAAGATTTGTGTTTATTCAATATGACAAGCATAAGTAACTAGAAAAGTTAACGGGACAGGATACGACGAGTCCAAACTGTTGACAAACCACATTATCGTACCACTCTAAGCATAGCCACTCAACAACCACCCAAACCACCAGTTATAGCTCTCTCCAGAGTGAACAGAGTTCACAAAACCTCATATGCTAATGTGGTAAAAGGTTCAAGATTAGAGAAGGAGAAGGAGAAGGATCCTTCTATTAAGGTCCATGCCCAAGAAGTAGGAAATTGAAGGAAAAATGTACGGGTAATCATATTACCTGATCCGAAAACGGTTTGGATCAGATGCTTGAATTGTAAGCCTCGTCTGGAAAACCCCCCAGTTAATTGAGAAGCAACTGGAGTTTCTCAATAGTTATCCACGCTCCAAATTCCTAGGCTTTCAAGATGGTAACCTCAAGATAGTTGAATAAAGAGAGAACTTATTGTTTTTGGTGTAGGTTCACAAGGTTGAGCATGAGCCCTTATATAGGCATATATGGCAAGACCATGTGTACCTCATGGTCAAGCCACACCATGTGTACAACATGTCTAATACCATGTGCCCTCATGGTTAGGCCATGTGTGGATGGATCATGTGTTCCATGTGTCTTTCAAGATTAGGCCACACCATGTGTACTATGAGGTCACACCATGTGTATTTACCACATGGTTTCCAATATCTCCCACTCATCCACACATCCACATCATGTGTTATATGCTCAATGATCATTTCTCAATCTCTCATTCAATTCACCCCTCATACGAAAAAATGGAGTGTGTGACCTGATAAGAAAGTATAAGGTAGGAGTGCTATATCAAGTCACCATAAACTAACATAACACATCACTCGAAATATCTCGTCTACACCCCAGATTTATTGGATCACACCAGATCAAACATTTTAAAATCCCTCGCGAGTTGTAACTCATAAACATGCTTGACCTTAACACTCTATCTGTACTCATGATTATATCGTGATCTCAAATTCGATAGAATTGCCTGGGCAATGAGCTACAATACAAGGGTATGATTTCCAGTACTCTTCCCTAGTTACTCATGTCAATTCACTCAAACTTGACCGTTTTTCTAGACATGGTCCTCTGGATCGTATTCATCATGACCCTTGGATGACATGCTAAAGTAGCGACATCAAGTCATCACTTCATGACATTTACCTCACTCGCTATCTAAGCGCCAAGATAATTAATGTCTCATCCCGCTCGCTCTACAAGCGCCAGGGTGATCGCCAGTGTGAGAAGGTCGATCTAAGCCTGGTGACATGATATACAATGTGTACTAATAGTATCAATTAAGCCATAAAATCACATGAATAAATAATTATGCATAAGATACTCAAAAATATCCAACAAAGTCGATGAGGTATCCACAAAAACATCAAATCCTACAAAGTCCTAAACTCCTAACATGAGTTTGGAAAATGTCTCTAGCAGCGGCTTTAGTAAGTGGATCGGTTACCATCCTGCTAGTGGAGATATACTGTAGGACTACCTTCCCTCATGCAACCACATCTCGAATAAAGTGAAATCGAATGTCGATGTGTTTGCTTCTACCATGATCCTTGGGATCCTTAGAATATGATGAAGCTATCATACTATCAACATAGATCATAATGGCTTCATCTGCAAAAGCTGTGATCCCAAGGCGCTGAAGGAATCTCCTCAACCAAAAAGCCCTTTGTACTGCTACTGAACAAGCAATGTACTCTGACTCCATCGTGGACAAATCAATGCATGATTGCTTCTTACTACACTAAGAAATAGCCTCTCCACTAAGTAGGAACGAATAACCAGTGGTAGACTCACGCTCATCTTTATCAGTAGCCCAGTCTGCGTCACTATATCTCTTTAGTCTCAAATCTCTACCCTGATAGCAAAGAATGAGATCCATTGTCCCACGAAGATAGCAAAAAATGCTCTTCATTGCTTGCCAGTGAAAAGTCCTGGGTTACTTTGGTAATGACTGACCATTCCCACCGCAAAACATTTGTCTGGTCGAGTACACATCATAGCATATATCAGACTACCAACTGCACTCGCATAGGGAGCTTTTTTCATTTGTTTATTTTTTTCATCTGCCTTAGGGCAAGAGTCAATGCTCAGATTATGTCCCTTCTCAATTTGAGTGTTAATGGGTTTGGAATAGTGCATACGAAATTGTTCCAAGATCCTATTAATGTAAGTCTCTTGAGACAAATCAAGAAGCCTCTTACAGCGATCTCTTAAGATCTTAACTCCGAGCACATAACTTGCCTCTTCCATGTCCTTCATTTCAAAAATAGAGGATAACCATTCCTGAGTGGCGACAATCATCTCCATGTCATTTCCAGCTAACGAAATGTCGTCAACATACAATGATAGAATAAGGAAACTCTTTCCTAATCGTTTGACATACACATAATGGTCTTCCTCCATCATCTCAAACCCAGTCGAAATGATGGCTTTATGGAATCTAAAGTACCATTGTCTAGATGATTGCTTTAACCCATACATAGAACGTTTGAGGCGCCATACTTTGCACTCTTGTCCATTGACCTCAAGGCATACTAGTTAATCCATATAGATCTCCTCATCTAGTTCTCTATTGAGAAATGCAGTCTTAACATTCATTTGGAAAAGTTCTTGATCCAAATGCACGACAATAGCTAGAATTAGGTGAATAGAGGCAAATCTCACCACCGAGGAGAATGTCTCATCATAATCTATACCCTCTCTTTGGGTGTAGCCTGTCGCCATGAGACGGGCTTTGTACTTATCAATTGATCCATTAGCCTTGCGCTTAATTTTTAAGACCCATTCGTTATCAATGGTCTTGCGTCCAGGTGAAAGGTCAACCAACTCCCAAACTTGGTTCCGAGCCATAGAACTCATTTCATCCTTCATAGCAACCATTTACTCATTAACATTAGGTGAAACTAATGCTTTCTCATAGAAAGCAGACTCATCAAGATCCAGTGTAGTACACATGAAAGATTCCCCCTCAATCTCATAACGACGGCGTGGAATGGTTCCATGTTCAATTCTACATAAATGGGATCCTAGTGAGTCATTTTCTAGTGGAACACTTCCACTAGGAGGTAAATCACTCCCACTATCTATGGCGATTTCAGGGTAAGTCTCTAATTCTCCACCCTCCCCAAAAGATGGTGTAATTTCCTCAGAATCCTATAACTGAAATAGTGCAAGATCTTTTTTTACTTCGCCAATACTAGGAAATTCATTCCCAATGAAATTGATATCTCGCGACTCATTTTTAGTCATTCCACCATTAGGGTGTTCACCTTACATCACATAACCCTTTGAGCATCCTAAGTATCTCACAAACAGTTGTTTATTTGATCTAGGGCCTAACTTCCCATGCTTATGAGAAGTACTGTGAACAAAACCCGCGCAACCCCAAGGCTGCAAATGCTTCAAATTTGGTTTTACACCTTTCCATAATTCATATGGAATTGTTGGAATTGACTTTAAAGGCACACAATTAAGGATGTAGGTAGCAATCAAAAGAATATCACCCCAAAAAGAGATAGGGAGGTTGGCTTGCACCATCATTGATCTAACCATTTCAAGTAATGTGTGATTTTGTTTCTCTGCTACACCATTTTGTTGCGGAGTCTCTGGAATTGTTAATTGCCTGTGTATCCCCTTTTCCTCACACAGTCCTTGAAATTGATGTGATAAAACTCACGCCTTTGATCTGTTCGAAGGATTTTCAATTTCTTGTTTGTTTGATTCTCAACTAGTGCAACAAAGGGCTTGAAGCAATCCAATGCCTCAAAGCGATGTGAGATCAAATAGACATAATTGAACCGTGAATAATCATTAATAATTGTAAGGAAATAAGAAGCGCCATGACATGCCTTTACATTCATAGGTCCACAAATATCAAAGTGAACTAACTCTAGAGGATATAAGGCCCTGGGTGCCTTTCTAAAAGGCTTCCTACAGGCCTTTCCTACCAAACAAGGTTTACACACAGGAAAACTTACATTAGCAAGATGCCCCAACAAGCCTTCTTTAGCTGGTCTAGTTATTCTATCTTTGCCTATGGGACCAAGTCTAGTATGCCAATTAATAGAATTTAATGAGTCGTTATCATAAGACACAAAAGAATATAAGGAAAAATCCAAATCTTGCATAAAAAAACCATTGGAAAGAAAACCATGTCTATACAAGACTTTGTTTACACAGAAATCCAACTGTATGCCATCAAAATGAAAACTAATTAACCAAGTCCTAACAAAGCAATAAATGCTAAAAGATTACATTGGACACTAGGTGCATAAAGCACATCATGGAGGAGTAAAGTGCACCCCAGGCGCGTCTTGAGCTGAT